TCAGCACAGTCGACTGGCTTATGGATAGAATGTTCGAAAATCTTGCATTATGGAAAGCGGTCACATATTGTTACAGACAAAAAACAAGAGGGATGCATTCTAGGAATTTCAGAGCTNAGTACCGAGTAGCCATAAGTTGAAATCAGCCACGCCAGGGGAGAGCCAGCAAAAACGGCAAACGCTGAAAACATATCATATTATCTAATAAGATAATCGAGCTTCACATAAATCTCATTTCGTAATTCAGACAAAACCTTCACTAGAACTGTTACGAAAATGCTTCTTCATGCTAATCTCAACATCGGTGACAAAATTCATCCCTATACAACATCAAAAACGTTTCAAAAGCTCATCGATACAAAACACAGAAGCACGCACATAAGTATGAAACAGAGTTAATGATTAATGGAATAAGTAAATTTGTGATTAACTTACAATTCGAAATAAAATTAACAAAAGCACTGCATCGACCCGTGAACGCTTGATCGACCATATCCGTCGATATTATTCCCCATATGTTGATGCACGCATAAACACACGCTCCGAACAGGAATGAACTCGTCAATATCCATCCCTAAAACGTTACAATTCCTTCATGATAATGCACCTTCAATGAAACTCTTATTCGTGTGAAGGAGAATATTTTCGGCATATTTTCTGCTGTGTTCATGCACAAACATATAAAGTTAAGGTATCTGCACAGTCAAACGATTAAAAAAATGCAGATCTAACGCGAGCACTATATCATACGGTTTCGCAAAATTCGAAAAACTTACCGATGTGAACAATGTCCCAAGAGAGGCGAACATACCAACCGTGCACATGATACCAGTTAGGAAACGTGAACGATCCAACGCAATGTAAGCACACAAGAAGTCTGCAACTGCGCCTGAGAAAACACTTCCGAAGAATCCTGAATAAATTTCATCGATGAATGCATGACTGTGACGATCTCTGCAGATATTCAGCACAGTCGACTGGCTTATGGATAGAATGTTCGAATCTTGCATTATGGAAAGCGGTCACAAACGGTCACAAACAAAAAACAAAAGGGATGCATTGTAGGAATTTCAGAGCTAAGAATTTCATTACGAGATAAATTTCATTAGCGGCGCATAGGTGGTCAACAAGCAGTTCGGATGACGAACGAATGCGACGAATCTCACCTCCGGTTTCAAAAACAAACGATGCTTGCAGTGCGTCTGCTTCAGAAGCGCTCTCACTGACATATATTGGTATCCAAGTTTCGGCAATCGCTCGCGATGTCATTGTGAAGGCGTAGAACATGGCCGTCAACCAGACCACTTCGCTCTGCAGCAAAACACGCCATGAAAACGATGAGTTTTGGTGTTTGGCTATTGTTTTCTTGTTGTTCTCTGATTGTTGCTTTGATTGGTCAGCAGATGAATCGTTTGAATCGTAATGATAACTTCTGCGGACTACACTCCACATGAATGCCACATAGACTGTTGCGAGTGTTGCTGCAATTGAAACTCGCAATGAGTCCGATTTTATATAATGAAATATGAAAGTTGGATTAGATAAGTCGAAAACGTCAGACAAAATTTCTAAATCCGACAGTGTCCAGCTGAGAAAAACAATCCTCCAGTCACTTATCAACCAAGCAGTTTCCCGGTTGTTCTGAATTTCCAATACATTGACTATGAATTCACCTGCAACGAAAGTAATTTGTCGCCATGGAAGAAGCAATGTGAAAGGTCCAACGAAACCGGCAACATTATTCGTACACGCCAGAATTGTGAACATCCTTCCGAACTCCTCAGCTGTGAAAATCTGAAATTTCAAAATGTACGATCAGGTCCGAAAATTTGTACGAAATAAGAATTTCATCACTGGCTTCCAGAAAAACTTATACAAATTGAATGAACAACCACATCAAAAACCACAGGCAATGAGTTAATCCACTTTGAGCTAAGACCTAAAATTGAGAAGTCTCGGCGCAATATTTAGGCGAACATACAAAACTCAAACTTGAAACTGCGCGTTTGCGCAAAACGGTTGAGAATGTGCGAAACTCGCCTGGCGAACAATCTTTACAGTGGACGGCCATCCGCTTCCTTGTAGAAATCCGTTGATAGCACCTGATAAGAGAAACTGCCACAGGGCAGTTGATATAGCCATCGTATAGGTGGAAATGATGATACCGATCATTCCAAGAACGACGATTAGCGATGGGTTGACCAGATCGGAAGCAACACCGAATAATAACTTTCCAATTGCAAACGCGCCGAACTGCGTGCTAACAATTAAACCTTAAAGCAAAAATGATGGGAGAAGAATCAAGTTTATTGGTCCAGTATTATTCCAAAAATTGTTCGCTTCATTACAAACTGTTGAGGACAGAAATTCTCATTGACATCCACAGGTATAATGCTTCTAATGGATTCATCGGCACTCCGTCGTTTCGCGAAAACCCTTACAATTCAATTTCCCCATGCATGAATGACCATCCTCTCACCACCACAAAAATTTTCGAAATTGAGTGAGTGAAAGAGAATAAAACTTTTCGATGAAAGTGTTGACGAGAAGGCGATTTTTCATGAATGAAGCGCTTACATTAGCAGTGTTCATTTTGGAGGATAATCTTTAAACTTAAAAAGTTCTCATTAATGAAGAGAGTCGAACAAGGAATCATTGAATAAAATGCGAATGATACAAGCTTTGTGTCATACCGATTTCATCCTTTGTCAGGCCGACATCGTGAACAATGAACGGCAACAGCAGTGAGAATAACTTCCGAAAGTAAACGCTGAAGACGTACGAAACGAATAAAAGCCAAAAAAGTTGCCATCTGCTAGCCATTCGCATCGATTGAACACACAACTGAAAGCACAAAAAAATTGACAATCAAGTAAGCGTTCACTCAATTCATTCTGCAACAATACAACTCGTAAAAGTTGACTTCCCCACTCCTAACTCTTATCGAAACGTTTTGTGTAATCTCGCAATGAGCCTAACTCGCACGCGCTAACAACATCGGAATTCCCAGCAATGTGTGAACAACGAGTAAAATATCTCAAAGAAATTCATTCAACTCCTTTTCACTGCACGAACACTTCAGTCTTTAACGAAAACTTGAAACTGGAAAAAAGTGGGCAGTGCGTTGAAAAACTGAAACGTTTGACTGTGAATAAATGATCGATCCATTGGTTTCAGTGGTCGATAGTACATCCTCTTTCCTGTGTATGAAAATAAATATCGCTACGTTTAATTGCACGGTTGGTTGTGTATCATGGTTGCATCTATCTCATGCGTTGTATTCATGCATTACGCAGCATCCTCGACTCGGTCAATACTTGGCAGTCCGCCCGTCTGGTCGGAGTGCATGGAAATAAGATAGCGCGGTTTATTTTTCCGCAGCTGTCACCACCGAGAATCGGTGGCACCAGTTGACAGATTCAGTGTTTTAACATCGACTAAACTGAAAACATTCGAGTGTCATGAATGGGACATAGGTGGTGCGATTCGAAACGCCCTCTTCACACTGCATATTCCTTGGATTAAAGAATCACTAAGGATCAGATGATTCGCAACTTTAAGGACAATTTTTTTGTCTATGAATAGGAGTTCGAAGCATTGAGTGGTCAAAGCAATGCATGCAAAAAAGATTTCGTGTATCCTAACGCTACATCACAATTTTATTCGTTTGATTTTTCAAACTGAGTGAATATCAATCGAATATTCAAAAGAGTTACTAGCATCGAAATTTCTTATCGGATTACATCATCATTTGTTCTAGTCTGAACGAGATCTGACACTCATTTCCTGCCATCAGATCTCAGCCAGATATTTCAGATTTTTCACAGCCCCTCAGTGGACATGATATCAGTTCAACATAGCCAATTAGGACTGATATACACAAGGCTTGAATGGTGGTGTTCATCCCTTGTCCTCGCAAGCGATTTTTAAAGATCACTACTATCATTTCTGCACTTGAGCAATGAGCTAGGATGCACCATCCATTAAATAGTTTAGTTTTAACGTTTGAACGAGTGACATTGACTGTTACGTTGAATTGGATGAACAGAGGGTTTAAGTTGATTGTTTTTGCATTCGCTTTGTAGAGAAGAATCATTTCTTTCGAAATATGCTATGCGCTTTTTGTTTAGAGCGGTAGTCTTTAGTACAGCAAACAATGCAGTGAGAAGTCATCCAAATACATCCTCTGTTTATCTTTCGCATTTTTGTGACGTTCTCAATTGGTATTGCCTATCACGTTTGCCCATCGCCGCCTACAACTCAAATTTCACAATTCATAGCGTCACAATCCATTACACATCAGCTGATCGGAACATCTCAACTGAATTGCTATCACATGCAATATAGATGGTAATCAAGTGAAGTCAGTCGCAAAGCTTTTCATTTCAATGCATGAGTTTGCGGGAAACAACTGATGGCTATTGAAATCGGTCATACATGTTGCATTAAAGGAATTTGCGGATGATTCAAATGCTAGACGTCATTGATGAAATCTAACTGGAATTTTTTCTTGCTGAATATTTGTTGAGAGACCAAAAAAACGTGTCTGGGAATTTCAATTGCGCTGTAATTTCACCACAATTGACGGAAAGGAATAATGAGACGTAACTTTTGCTTTCGACTGTTATGCGTGATGAATGCCTGGAATGAGGAAACAAAGCAATGAGGTAATACTTATGAATGCGATGAAAACTATGCAACAATGGATTGTCAATGAATTAAAACAAACTCATCGAGTGTCAGTCACTAAAGTTTTCTTTTTTCTAAATGTGTTTGTTGGTCTGGTGAACTGTTGTACGAGTTGACAAATGAGTAGTGACCACCACGGACGGCATTTGTACGACCACTGAGGTAAGCAAACACTCAGTTTTGATTACTCACGATCTGCCCGATCCCTTCAAAATGCGCTGATCTTGCTCAGCTCATCGCACTGTCGAGAAGCATTCCGTATAAAACATTCGCCGGCTCATTTTACAACACGCCATATTACGATTCACATCCGAATCAATTGTCGTCATTTATCGTCCTGTCAAGCATCTTCCATCACTTGCGATCTGTGAAGAATTCATCGATTCTCAGTGATATTATCATTCGGAAGATACCTTCGGATATTCGGAAGATATATTCATACCTTCGGAAGATATATTCAATCCCATTCACTGTTCTGAAACAAGTGCCTTGATTGGTACAATTACCGAGCATTTACGCTAATAGAATTGTTCTTCTATACCCGTTCTACGGTGCGGTTGTGAGTTCAGTTACCAGGGACTATTCAATATTTATTGAGTAAATCTTCGAAGATAAATCTTTTCGTCATCGTAATCTCAAATCATGCATCTGTCAGCATTCGTTATGATTTTCGTCGTTCGAAGTGTGCTTGGATATTATCCACCACAACGATACAACGACGTCTGTGAAGACGATGGCAAAACTGATTGTGCATCCAAGATTTCACTGTGTACCGACGAATTATTTGGAGAAATGATGCGAGCTCATTGCAAGAAGTTGGTCATTACTTTACTTTAAGTTTGTTTCAAATCACTAAAATCTGTTTTGATCGTCTTTTTGATCCAACTGATTAATCCGCTTTGGAGACCAAATGTGAAAATAGATAATAAGCAGGCCAAAATGGTTTAGTAACCTTGCAACTCATTCAGTAGTGATTGTTAATCCGACGACCCCTTTCGGCCCTCTCAAAAGAATGAGAGATATTTCATTTACTTTCGTGAAAGCTAAAGCCAGACCATCTTCTAAATGCATACACAAGCCATCACTCAAAACAAATTCCTTCATTTAGTTCCTCATTTTCCAATTTGAAATCCTGTTTAGAACCTGTGGTTTATGTGGTAATGAAGAGGACGAAGAATATTACGAGCAAGTCGGTGGAGGTGGTGGAAGTAATGCTGGTGAAGGGGATGGAACTGAAGACTACACAGGTGATCGCGTTGTTCCTTCATGTTCTTCGTTACTTTTTTCTTCGTTACTCTTAGTCTGATCCCAGCTGTGTAATGAACAAACATCCTGTTGAAGTGAACCATCAGTTCATGTTTCATTATAATAAATTCACATCATTTTCCACAACAGTCCACGCGATTGTCGAATAGCGGCATTTCATCGATGTTTTTTGACACTTTCAGAGGAATCGCAGACTGGTGAGGAGACCACTGATCCATCGGATGAAGACGAATATCCGACCGATGAGGAGACGGAACACGAATTGCCCGTTCCAGTGATACGTCCAATGGCCTGTGCGGATACGTCAGCTGATTGTAAAGGTCCGTTCTATGAGACAGCGTTACTGACTTGTTTTCCACTGTTTCATTTCATGGTCACCATTTGATTGGGAATTTTACAACTCAAAACATCAGTCGCTTAATTGAAAGCGCTACGTTCATCCTATTCATTCTTTCACCGCAAAGATTAAAATCACTAAAATCGCTAAAATTGTGGTATCCAGTA